GAGAAGTCAGTCCTTTTGAGAATCAAAACAGATGTAGCATGCGAATTAAGGGATGTAAAAAAGAAACATAATAAGATAAAATACTTACAATAATAATGCCTTGAGTTAACAACACGTATATATTCTTAGAATATAAATACAATGTATAACTATAGTACCCCTTTGGGTGACAATTATAAAATACTAATAATGATGCTTACATGTATTTATATATATACCTTAATTAGTGATATATTATTTAATTAAACAAATAAGTTACCTTTGGATATCCTATATTTTACCTAATTAAAAAATACATATAACCCCTTAATTTTTATTTAATAACTTGAAAATCAATTCTCTTTGAGAAATTATTTCTCATAATTAAATAAACTTAATATTCATGAATATTACAAAAAATCATAAGCATCAATTATTCATGAAATATTGCAATTATGTCTACTATTAAAATTAATATTCATCAACTATTATGATTAGGCCACTTTGACAGCTACCAACTTTTACATAATATGAATATTAATTTAGGTAGTGACTAATATATCATTAATTATATTTACAACTAAATTTAATATTCATCAATCATTATGGTTAAACCACTTTGGTAGCTATTAACCCTCACATAACATGAATATTAAATTAGCTAGTTACTAAATCATCATTAATTTATCCATTAAACATTATACACACATACTTATACTGATCGATCCAAGTTTAGGCAACTTCAGTCCCAAAAACTTAATAGTCCAAAATTTTAAAGAAAATATCATTTTTTATTTTATATGCATAATAAAATATATTATTTTATTTCCGGACTCTAATTACATAATTGAATCAATCCTAAATTGATTATTCATCATGTATGTAAGTATGAGTACAAAATAATAATTTATTTGCATGTCTAATAAGATCAAATATCTAAACTCACATATTACTCTAGAAATTCAGATTTCTAATTAAAGAAATCAATCTATAAAACTATTTAATCATGCAAATCATAAACTTAACTTACATAATCATTAATTTGACATATATGAGTATTCTATAATTTCGTGTCAAGTACTAAATGTGACTCTGTTATTAAGTTATATTAGACCATGCACGGAAATCAAGAATTAAACACATATATATAATTCAACTATTAGGCAATTTAACGAGGCTAATAAATCAATTTATGGAAATCAAAATACAGGGTCGAAAATCGATGCATGTAAACCAAAATAAATTCACCGATCCATCATACTAATATATCATGCACCCACACTGATCATAAATCAATACCCATATTTATGCATCTATTTTACATATATAGAAACTATCATGTAAACTACGTATCATTATTCAACTTTCAGTAATTCATTTAAGTTCGGAAATCGAGGCACACAATTTTGATTAATTGTTTGATGCCACAAATTGATTAAAATATATCACGCACAAACAATTCCTTGAGAACGCTACTATATATGTATGTATATATAGATGCCGAATCTAAAAAATTAAATTTTTTAATTTTAATTTAAACTTATGCAACATTAATGAAAAATAATGAGTTCATAAACCGTAAGCTCTGATACCACATGTAAATTATAATTCATTCGTGCAAACTATTCATCACAAATAAACATGAATCCCAAATCTTAGAACTTCATTATTCTCACATACCTATAATGCATGAATAAATATAGTTAGATATAAAAAATTTGATCTGTGATTGCAAATATCGTAAAGATTAAGTCTAACGTCGAAATCTTTTCTGCGGAATGAACAACGTGATAAATTGCAATAGCTAAAGCGTGAAAACCGATTTCTCTCTCTTGACTTTTTGCACACATAAACATTATACGTATTGTTTTCATTAACGTACATAATTGAAGGGATATATTTACTTTTATAAAGGTAGAAAGATGACCACTTTTCCTTTTAACCATAATTCCACTTTCCATCAAAGTAAGGAATAAATAGGAAAACAATTCCCCAAAAATTAATTATCAAAAAGGTAATTAATAAGTTGACCAAATAATATAATATTAATCTGATATCTATTTACTTAACCACTAATTAAAGAAAAATATCACATGTCCAAATTATGTGGGCCACACAATTAATAAATAATCTTACATATACAACACATGGTTCAACACTCTAATTCACAAAATTAATATCAATTTCCAAGCATGCCTAAATTTAATAAAAATTCCATTCTATTCATGAATTACACAACTTTATCAATTCTATCACTTTTATCATGAGTTGTTATTTACACACACAATTTAAAAACAATTCCCTTAACTAAATCATGCTTGCAATTTCTTCACATCATCATTTAGCATAGTATTGGCACAAAATATATATATAAATCATGGCTGTCACATTTCTACATAGGTGACATACAATATACAGAACTAACATCATATGAGGCATGTCATTTACTTAGATTTTCACACAATCAATAAAATGACTATAACATGATATTCATAGTATGCCAAAATAAGAAATCAACACATAAGAACTCACAAATAACTAAGGACTCCATAAATTAGATATCCTTACCTCAAATTAGGATGAAAATTCTAATCCCACCGAAACCAAAGTGCTTCCCTTGCGAAACCGGCACCATGGGCAGTGACGGACCCAGAAAATTTTGTGAGGGGGGGGGCGGCTTTTTAATTTGTGGGTACAAAATTATATGATGGGTTCATTTTTGTAATTTTAATAGGGTTTTTTTTTTCATAAATTTTAAAAATTCTAAAGTATAAAATGAAAAAAAAAAAAAAAAATCAGTGGGGCAAATTATAATTCTAGTGGGGACATCTTCATAAATTATCAAAATTTGATGTATAAAATGCTAAAAAAAAGAATCCAGTGGGGGCGAATTGTAATTTTAGGGGGGCATTTTCATAAAATTTTAAAAAATTAGGGTATAAAATGAAAATATTAAAAATCCAGGGGGGGAATCTGCCCCCCTGGTCACCTGCTGGGTCCGTGCCTGACCATGGGATGAAAGAGGAGGTAAAAGAGACTGAATAATCCTTCTACGACATCTCCAAAATATGAACTCCACTTTCACCCAAAATTCCCAAAATACTCCAATTGAAAATCCGGATAATAGGCGCATAGCACTCGTTGCGCTCATCAAACTTCCCTTCTACGGCGTCGCCAAAATCTCACCCGAGTTAGAAGAAATCCACGCTTGAATCATGTAAAATGAAAACAACAAGAAAAGAAAAACAAAGGAAGAAGAAAAGGAGAGGCCACGCTGGTGAGAGAGTGAAATGATTTTTTTTGTGGCTAAAAGAAACAAAGTCCTCTTTTTTATATAAAGGTTAAACTTGTGGTTCTTGTCTCCCATTTAATTGCTTAAAATAATCCGTTTAAGTTTCGAACACTCGCAAACGACACAACGTAGTGCAAAAAGGGTAATAACAGCGTAAACGAGGAATATAGTGATGTCGAGAAATTTCCTGAACACATAAATTTGCCGTGGGGTCCACCCGGCGCCTCATAGGCACGAAAACAAAAATTGTCCAAAATTAGCCTAAATGAGTTTTTAAGGGTTGTAAACTTAAAGAAATATCCCAAACAATTCCCCGGAACATTGTGACACACATCCCCGTGTGCAAATAAAATAAAATAAAATAAAATAAAAAATACCCGAAAGATATCGAAAAAATCCGAACGTCACAAGAAGAATGCTTATATTTATTTTGTATTTATTTATTAATCAATACAATACACGAAGTATAATTAATACATTAAAATAAATGTACAAGTAATATCATGGTATCAATTTTATGAGTCTATTATGGCATTGGAGTCCTTAGATTGCCTTGTAGTTGAGCTGCCTTGATTGGCAATAAAGTAAAATATCTGATTTTTCATGGTTGATTAGAGTGCATATATTAATTTAATTAAGCACCAAAGATGAGTTATTAATAGGTTTTATTTTAATTTTTTAACAAACAATAATAAAAAATCTGACCCGGTCCATTAAGAATATACTTCGGGTTGAGTTTCCAGAATGTGAATCCTACGGTTTCGTGTTTGGTAGCCTGGGTCTTAAATTGTACTATCAACTATGTATTAATCCCATTCCAACCTTCCAGATACTAAACACTTTTCTTCGTCTTTCTTTTGCACGTTTCCAGAGATATTTATTGACCTTCTAGTAACACCATGTAACGAAGTAAGACAAGTTAATGTGGACATTTTTTCTGATACCATGCTATATTGTTATATACTATGGAATGTGGACAATTTGCATATCACACCATAAACCAAAAAAAAAAGAAAAGAAAGAAAGATTGTGCGTTCAATTCAAGACCATTGTAGACCAGTCAATTGATCGAATTTTGATCTGAATCCAATCCGATTATTCGAATATGAATTAAACAAAAAATTCGATAATTCGATTATAATTTGAATTCGATAATCCGATTTCTTAACAAATCAGATATGAATTTATGTTGATTTGAATCAATAATAATTCGATCCAATTAAATTTATATATTTATATTATATATACAATACTTCTATTAGATTTATATTAGATGTAACAAAAAAAGAAAAAAAAGTAATTGTATTGTTATATGTACAATAGTGCGGCGTTCTCACCTATATACTAATAAATTTCCTAATATATCATAATATTTATTTATTAACAAAGAGTAAATGATCTCCTTTTTCTTTTTTCCTTTTTCTTTCATATTTTATTTATCTATTATTTTTTTTTCCAATCATTGTTTTTTATTCTCTTTTGACATTAATGTTTTTTTCTTTTTACTTTTATCCGATTGGATATTTGATTGTTAACCAATCGTGTATGAATTCAATTAAAAAAAAATTGTCAAATTATTAAATTAGAATAAAATACTTATTGAGTTTGGATCGGATCAGGCCAAATCCGATCCGAATTCAACCCGGGTCTACAACATTCATTGCCTAGTAAACAAGAATCTCGGGGGCTGCTAAAAGAAATTTCAAAGCGTCAAAAGAAAATATATTGAGGGTTACTATTTTAATCATGCAACTTGCCCGCCACTTTCCTCACAGATTTTGGACCATCCTTTTATTGTTCATCTGTATCTTATCTCTATCGATCTGTCTATATATATAATTTGTCTTTGAGGTAGACAAAAAAAAACTGGAAGTACTGTCTAACAAAAGCAAAATATAGAGCTTTGGTACATGCACAAGAGAGAAACATATATCATTTACAAATAGGTTCTCGATCTCTTTTCTAAGAGTAGAAAAGAAAATCCCAAATCTGAATTTTGAGTATTTTATTTTATCCTATTTTTGTAGAAATTCACTTGTTTTGGCTCTTAAATCTTGAAGAAAAATTGTGGATTTTATGTTGTAAGTCGGATTTGTGTCCGCGATGGATGGTGGTGACATTTATAAAGCAAGCAATAGCTTGAGAGGAAGCTTGAGCTTCAGAGGAAGCTTGAGAGCAAGCTTGAGAGCAAGCAGTTCGTCAGTATGGAGGAACAGTACTGTGGAAGTTTTCTCGCGATCTACGCGGGAAGAAGATGATGAAGAAGCTCTGAAATGGGCTGCCATTGAGAAACTTCCCACTTACAATCGGTTGAAGAAAGGGCTGCTATTTGGTTCACAGGGTGCAGCCAATGAAGTGGATGTTAACGATCTCGGACTTAATGAAAGGAAGCATTTGTTGGAGAGGTTGATCAAAATTGCAGATGAAGATAATGAGAAGTTCTTGTTCAAGCTCAAGAATCGAATTGATAGGTAAGAAGATTTCTCCTCATTTTTTTTATTTTTTCATTTTTGTATTTTATATATATATATAGATATATATATATGTGTATATACTAGTTTTTGCTTGCGAAGATATGTATATACTAGTTTTTGCTTGCGAAGACGGACGGATTTGGAGATTTTGATAACACTGTGTTATAGGAAAATCGCCTCACATAAAATGGGTCCACACCATTTATACCTTCTTCACACTGTTATGAGCCGCCTCACATAAAGTGGGATCCACACTATCTTATCCATCATTTTGACTTCTTCTTTTTGTTTTTCTTTTTCTCTTCTTAAAATATCTTCGTCGTGGGTCATGTATGATGTATTTATTTTTTTTTGCCTGTTTGTTTTTTTACGCTTTGTTGTCCTATACATTTATTATTACTGCAATTTCTGTTTTTGTTACCAAACTAATGAAAAACAGAAATAAACTCAGGAAAAAAAAAATACTTACCATGTTTTCACTTATTTTTGCTATTACAGTTAAGCAATCATAATAAAAAAGGCAAAATAATTATGCCCTACACGGGCGATGGGGCAAAATTGAGTTAAATGTCAAGTGATTTTATCATTTTATCCCCATTTTTTATTGATGAAAAGAAAAAAAAAAAAAAAAAAAAAAAATCTAAATATATGGAAATTACCCGGAGTCCCAATACGCTCCTTACCCACCGCCACAACCTCTCACCATGGCCACCGCCACAACCATTTCTCTCTTCTCTCTTCTTCCTTCAGTTCTATGGCTTTCATATCCGCTATCAATCGCCCCCACCTCCACCATTTCCACCACCACCACCACCAACCCCCACCGTCTTCCACCTGCACTACCACTGAACCCCTCTATTTCTTCCCTTCTCTTCGCCTTTCCTTTTCTCTCTCCTCTCCAAGCCAATTATTGCCACTACCCACAATTAGATTTGGGCATAATATACCCATTGTTCTACTTTTCTATCCTTTTATTGATTCTTCTATATATTTGAAGACAAAAAAGGTTGTATTTGCAGGTTTTCATGCATGTCACTGTAAACAAACTAGCAGTAAGTTCCACAGTCTGGGAGGTACTTGGTGTTAGTCTATTACTCTCACTCTTGTTATTGCACATGTTGTTTTTGCTGATATGTTACAGAGAAATTTCTGGAATTTTCATTACCCAAATGAGCATAACATTAACACCACCACATAGGTTTGAACAAATTAACACTTGAAATTCTAAAAATGTTCACTACTGCTGATCAGATCCGACATTGATTACATCTCTACGCATAATTTCATAACTGAAGATCTGAATTGCGATTTACATGGGCGTTAAAGGCGACATATTTTGATATATAAACAGATATATATATGTAGACAATGCTGATAAGAAATTACTAAGGGTCAGAGGTTTCACGAAGTGAACAGAGTACAATGGTACCTCTCAAAAGTTATAAATATATATACACACCTCTCTTGTGAACAAAGATATATAGACGCGCGCGCGCGCGCGCACACACATATATATATGCACACACGCCTCCTCTCTCTCTAAAACTGTTGTTGGGTCAAAATAATAGTGGCCAATGAAGATTATGGAGCCCACCTCGCGGGCGAGAGCTTTTTGCAGACATTGTTTTGCTGTTTCGTGCTGGTAATTGGAGAAACTACGATTTTAGATTTGCACAAACCCAGACAAGGAGGGAGAGTGTATATCAGATTATCAGTGGTATGGAGTGAAATTTTGGTTGTAGAGACTGATTTTTAGTCTTAATTTTAGCACTTGGTGGTGGTGGTGGTGGTGGGTGGAGAGGGAGATAAGAGAAGGAAGAGAGAACGGGTCTGCAGTTGATCTATTTTTCATATAATACATGAAGTTTCAGTTTTTACTTTGGGAATTAAGTAACCAGAGGAAGAGTAGGAAAGAATCATGGAAGCCACCATGAAAGTGTTGGGTGTTGTTCTTGGGATTGTTATGAAAGGGAAGGGTATTTTCGTCCCTGAAAATAATACTTTTTGTTTGTAATTTGATGGCAATCTATAAGGTCAAGAGTGTCTTTTCCTCTTACTTGGTCGGCATTTTGGTATCTGCGACCAATTTTTCTGACTGGCGAAATTTTGGGGTATGTGTTATAATGGAGCAATTTGATGCCATGTGTAATTAGGACAAACTTTTGAGAGGTCATTTTAATTTACCAGTTTTTGTAATGAAACATTGTGCAACAAACAGTTATCAAACATGTTTCTATTTCGAAATAAATCATAATTAAACGAAATAGTATTTGCTTCTACTTCATATGAAATTGAATATCCACAATAGAAACGGTTGCCAAATGGATCCTTACCGTCCGTGATTTATGTATTTGAATTTTTCTTTATTACAATTTCTAAATTATGATATACTATTTGAACATCAACGTTATTGCGCTTCTAATTTTTGGCTTGTTGTCTTGTTGCACGGTTGCACTATTATTTGTCATGTTAGTTGGGGAAAAAAAATATTTTATCTTGTTCAGTATGCCTCTAAATAAATAAATTATTGTCTCCGTCACTCATTAACAAAATGCAAATTTTCTGGATTTTGAATAATGAGTTTTGTTACTTTTTCATGGGATTTCTCAGAGTTGGACTTGATTTGCCCACAATTGAAGTCAGATTTGAGAATCTAAAAGTTGATGCAGAAGCTTATGCAGGAAGCAGAGCTTTGCCCTCTTTCGTTAACTTCATTGCTAATATACTGGAGGTAATAATAGGCAATATGCATGGATCACTGGCTTTTATTCTACTGATTATTGTTTTCAATTCTGTATTTGCCAAGTGGTTCTTTATTCTAATTTTGTTGTATGCCCAAAAGGGGTTTGTGAACTATCTCCATATACTTCCAAGTAGAAAGAGGACTCTATCTATCCTTCATGATGTTAGTGGAATCATCAAGCCGTGCAGGTGAGAACCGGGCTCGACCTTATCCATGAAATGAATTCTGATTAGATTGATTCTCTTTCTGATTTCATTTCTGATGTTGATAGTTAATGTGGTTTTTGCAGAATGACATTACTCTTAGGTCCTCCAAGTTCCGGAAAGACCACACTATTGTTATCTTTAGCTGGAAAACTCGATCCTGAACTAAAGGTAATTAAAGAAATATCACTGCAGCTTCAATTAATTCTTTCCTGTGTGCACAATTCTTGGGCTCCATCTAATTACTAGTATCACTATCAATGTGAAACTGACATTTTTCCTTTTTAACGACACTAGTTTTCTGGAAGGGTGACTTACAATGGGCATGGCATGCATGAGTTTGTACCCCAGAGAACTGCTGCCTATATCAGTCAAAATGATCTCCATATAGGAGAAATGACTGTGAGAGAAACCTTGGCATTCTCTGCTAGATGCCAGGGGGTTGGAGACCGATATGGTTAGTGAACAAATTGTTTAGTTTTTTCGTTTATGCATCTAACTGTAGACTTACAATTTTTAGCAAGATTAGGTGTGTTGATTATTCTTTTTGAACACAAATGCAGACATGCTAGCAGAGTTATCAAGAAGAGAGAAAGCAGCAAATATCAAGCCTGATCCTGATATTGATATCTACATGAAGGTAAGAGTACTTTGAAAATTTCTTAATAAAGTAAGCGATGCTGGTACTAGCTTTTATACAAGCATACCCCTGGGTGTTTAAATTTATATATTGGGTTCTATTTGACATGGAGTTTCTACAGCCTGAGACCACCCTCTGTGAAATTTATATTCCATCCTTCATGGTAGTTGAGGCTCTTTTTATTTTATTTTTCTTTTATTAAGTTTCTAGCCTGGCTAGTGCTTACTGTTCAATTACATGTTCAGTTTAGTCTCAACTAGAATCATCCTCCAATGCCAGAGTTTTGTTTATAAAACTTGCTTTTCTTATTGAGAAAAGAAAAATAAAATAAAATAATTATTTTTTCTGCTTATTCAGGCAGCAGCAACAGAAGGCCAGGAAGCAAGTGTGGTCACAGATTATACTCTAAAGGTAATATAACCACAGTATATATATATTCTAAAGGTTACATAACATGCAGAAAATTAATTTAATTCATTTTCTCTTAAAATACAGGTTTTGGGACTTGAAGTCTGTGCGGATACCCTAGTTGGAGATGAAATGTTAAGGGGTATCTCTGGAGGACAGAGGAAGCGTGTTACAACTGGTAAAGCAACTCAGTTTTCAAAAAAAAAATCAGCAAAGAAGAATTTTCTTTTCTTTTATTTTTCTTTGAATTTAATGTCACAAAAATTTCCTTCTAATACATTATAGGTGAGATGCTGGTTGGACCAGCAAAGGCACTTTTCATGGATGAGATTTCTACGGGTTTGGACAGTTCGACAACTTTCCAAATTGTGAAGTCACTCAGGCAATATGTTCACATTCTCAAAGGAACTGCTGTCATCTCTCTCCTGCAGCCAGCACCTGAGACTTACGATCTGTTTGATGACATTATTCTCCTATCAGCTGGCCACATTGTCTATCAAGGTCCCCGTGAGGAAGTGCTCGAGTTTTTTGAATCCATGGGTTTCAAATGCCCCGAGAGGAAAGGCGTGGCTGACTTCTTGCAAGAAGTAAGTTTGCATTCATCTTAATTCGTTTCTGTTTTGTTATGATTGTTTTTCTTCTTAAAAAGGGAAAGCAGATGAATTTTATATGTGTTTTGATTCTCATTTCTAGTCTTACCAAAGATAAATTTGTCACAGGTGACATCAAAGAAAGATCAGCAGCAGTACTGGGCACGCAAAGATGAACCTTACAGTTTTGTAACAGACCGCGAATTTGCTGAGGCATTCCAGTCATTCCATGTTGGACGGAAAGTAGGAGATGAGCTTGCAACCCCATTTGACCAGACCAAAAGCCACCCAGCTTCTTTGACAACTAGTAAGTATGGTGTTAGCAAGAAAGAGCTCCTGAAAGCGTGCAGCTCAAGAGAATACCTGCTGATGAAGAGAAACTCATTTGTCTATATATTCAAGGTCACACAAGTAAGTATTGCTACATATAAATTTATGATTTTGGTCTCAATTTTTTCTGTGTAAATACTAACAAGAACTTTTATTTCTCCCTGTAGCTTTCTATGATGGCATTTATTTCAATGACAGTCTTCTTTCGAACTGAGATGCACAAGGATACTGTAACTGATGGAGGGATATACTTTGGTGCTTTGTTTTTTGCTTTGGTTATGGTCATGTTTAATGGAATGTCGGAGATTGCCATGACTATTGCGAAGCTTCCTGTCTTCTACAAGCAGAGGGGCCTTCTCTTTTTTCCCCCATGGGCATATGCTCTTCCCACATGGATACTCAAGATCCCCATTACATTCATAGAGGTTGCTGTTTGGGTGTTTATGACTTACTATGTCATCGGTTTTGATCCAAATGTCGGCAGGTAAGAATCTAAGAGAAAATGGATATCTCAAAAAATTGTTAGATTTGTTTTACGTGTCGATTTTGCTCAAATGATAACAATTTCTAATGTCATCTGTGCAGATTGTTTAAACAGTATCTGCTCCTCTTAGTTATCAGTCAGACTGCTTCTGGATTGTTCCGATTTATTGGAGCATTGGGCCGGAACATGATTGTTGCAAATACATTTGGAACATTTGCATTGCTCATACTTTTTACATTGGGTGGCTTTATGATATCAAGAGGTATAAATTGCGAAAATTATATTTTAGAACTATTTTTCTCATACTTGAAACATTGGATAATGCTTCTTTCTACTTTATTTGATGCCATAGATGATGTGAAGAGTTGGTGGATATGGGGTTATTGGATGTCACCATTGATGTATGGGCAGAATGCAATTTTAGTAAATGAGTTCCTTGGCAATAGTTGGAAAAAGGTTAGTTTATGACTATTCTGTCCTTGTAAGCTCAATTCATGCTTGTGGCTCGATCAAAATCGGCTGATGTTTGAATTCACTTTCATGTCAAAGGTTCTCCTGAATGCAACAGAGCCACTAGGAGTCACGGTTATGAAGTCTCGAGGGTTCTTTCCTGATGCATACTGGTACTGGCTGGGACTCGGGGCATTGTTTGGATTTGTCTTGGTATTCAACTTCTGTTACAGTCTGGCTCTCACTTATCTAAACCGTGAGTAATTTCTACTTTTCCACTTCAAGGCTTTTTAAAGCTGCGAATTCACTAACAGCTTAGTTTAAAATTGTGCAGCTTTCGATAAGGCTAAAGCTGTTATACCAGACGAAGAACCAAGCAATGCCGAAGGTGATCAAAGTAGAAGAGCCATTCAGTTATCATCCCGTGGAAACAGCTCTCTTGGACGAACTGCACCTGAAGGTGATGAAGCTTTTATGTTAAGATATTGTGTTACACTATGCTATTCATACTCTAAATCTATATTATTTAAGGTAAAGTACAGAAACACCCCTTGAAGTTTGTCAAAAGGACACACATATGAAACTTAGCCTATTTTGGGACAAAGACACCCCCTCAAGTTTGATACGTTTGCCAAAGACACCCCAATGGTAATGAATTGACATTTTTGCCCTTTAACTTTTATATTGACTATAAAATGACGATTCTAACCTCAGAAACCCATCCCCACACATGCACACACACACACACACACACATATATATATATATATATATATATATATATATATATGTATGTATGTATGTATGTATAAACAGGCGGCGATGGTGAACTGTTTGTCATAACCCTCCAAAAGTAGAACAAGTGCCTTACTGATATCAATGATAATTGAAAATAAAAAATTAGGTAACTATTTATGAAAATAAAAAATAGAAAAGAACATACAGGCACTTGTTCTTTTCAACTTTTGGTGAACATATATATATACACAGATGAGTTTCGCCGGAGATGATGGGTAAGCTTCTGGGTCGCGGCAACTGTTCGTGCTTGGGGTCCGTCGGTCTGAACTAGGCTTCACCGGATTTGGGGCTTGCTGGACAGAACTGGGTCTTGTAATTTGAAGCCTCGTCGAACTGATGGCTCCAATTTTGAGCGCCGTCGTGGGTTAGATCAAAACCAGGCTCCAATTTTGAGCGTCGTCTTGATGTCGTTGCCGGAGACACAGAGAATCAACTAAGCGGCGAGAGCACTCACCGCCGCCCTCGTCAAACAACTATTGCCACCACCGCCGTTTAGCCTAACGCGTGACTTGTGTACTCCGGCGTTAGGTAAGCTCACCGAACTGGGTCTCTCTTCGCCGATCCATTTTTCGTAGTTCGTCGTCGGAATCACCATAATTAGGGCACCGATTGCGTGAGAATAGAGGACCCTTTTTACCCAATCGGGGTCGCCAAAAAATTCTTCTGAAATCTCACCTGTTTCTTTGGTGGTGAAAGATTGAATTCCTGTTCCTGAGGCTGTTGTTGTCTCAAGTTCTTCATTCTAAGCTTCGATTCTCTCAAATCGGCGTACGCTTTGTATCTGGGTCCTCTCTCCATGACGAAGCTCTCTGTTGTGAGTTGCAGAAGATTGGGGTTTTCATAATTGGAAAATTGTGGGAGGATCAGACTTTGGGTCAAGGGCGGTGATAAAACAATCTAGGGTTTTGTTTTGTTGGTAGTTTGGTAGCAGAGTACCCATTGTTGCGGGCTTTTTTTTTTTTTTTTTTTCCCGGAAGTTATTGTTGCTGCCATTTTTGTTGAATCTCAACGTGCACTCTGCATTGGTCTCTCTTCCCCGGTCCATTTTTTTGTTGAGGGTAATTTGGTCTTTAATTATTTTAATATTTTTTAATTAAAATTAATAAAATAGTGAGGGGTAATGTTGACGTTTCACATGTTTTAAGGCTCTGTTTGGTTTGCAAATATCATCAGGGGGTGTTATTGTCCCAAAACAGACTAAGTTTCATCTGAGTGTCCTTTTACTAAACCTCAGGGGGTGTTGCTGTACTTTATCCTATTATTTATATTCTAATAAGACTTTAATTAATATGCAGAGAGAGATCAAATTAGGAGGAGAAGTATCTCATCTGGCTCCTCATCCCAGAAGACCGATGCCATTGTCAATGCCAATCAGAACAGAAAAAGAGGAATGATTCTTCCGTTCGAACAACATTCCCTCACCTTTGATGACATTAAATACTCTGTTGACATGCCACAGGTAACTATAAGCTTAACTGATGTGTTGTATGTTATGAATTGAGAAAATTACTTTTCTTATAAAAACAGCCAAAAAAACATGACACTAATTGTTTAAATATGACTTGTAGGAAATGAAAAATGAGGGTGCTGAAGATAGATTGGTGCTTCTGAACAGTGTTAGTGGAGCTTTCAGGCCTGGGGTTCTCACAGCACTAATGGGTGTTAGTGGTGCCGGTAAAACAACTTTGATGGATGTGCTGGCTGGCAGGAAAACTGGTGGATACATTGAGGGTGACATTACAGTTTCTGGGTATCCAAAAAGACAAGACACATTTGCTCGGATTTCTGGATACTGCGAGCAAAACGATATCCACTCTCCTCATGTTACTGTCCACGAGTCACTGCTTTACTCAGCTTGGCTGAGGTTATCTTCTAATGTCAATTCTGAAACAAGAAAGGTAGGCATATCTGAGGACTTTTCTAAATGAAGGAATAAAAATTCATTCTTACAATTGCTCAAATATTTTAGCAGTTAAGTAGGTGGAGAATGGATGAAGAAAAAATCTCTAATGTAAATCTAATCATAAATTTTTGCAGATGTTCGTTGAGGAGGTCATGGAACTTGTGGAACTGGCCCCAATAAGGGGAGCACTAGTTGGTTTGCCAGGTGTGAGTGGTCTCTCAACCGAGCAGCGCAAGAGACTAACCATTGCAGTTGAGCTGGTGGCAAACCCCTCCATAATATTTATGGATGAGCCAACTTCAGGGCTGGATGCAAGAGCTGCTGCTATTGTGATGAGAACAGTCAGGAACACTGTAGACACGGGAAGAACAGTTGTATGCACCATCCATCAGCCAAGCATTGACATATTTGAAGCCTTTGATGAGGTAAGAACTGTTACTTTACTATAGCAGTTAGCATTCTCTATGAATTGCCTTCTATTTACAAGCTATTGAAACACAAATCATTGGATTTCAGCTTTTCCTAATGAAGCGAGGAGGTCAAGAGATATATGTGGGGCCATTGGGTCACCATTCTTGTCATCTAATCAAGTACTTCGAGGTGAGATGAAATGAAGAATCAATAACTACAAGCAGTAGTACATTATACTAATAGCCTTTAATTGGCTAGAAATAACTTGCTGACAAATGACATTCTCTTTAACTAGGGAACTGAGGGAGTAAGTAAAATTAAAGATGGTTATAATCCAGCAACTTGGATGTTGGAAGTTACTGCTTCAGCACAGGAAACAGCTCTGGGGATGGATTTCACGGATGTCTACAAAAATTCAGAATTGTATAGGTTCGTTTAATATAAAAATGCATGATGAGATTGACATATTTATACATGCATGCTTCTTTATGAAGAATGTTTTGCACATCTTAAGTTTGTGGTTAGATCTTCTAATGATGTATGAACTACACATTTCAGGAGGAACAAAGCCCTAATCAAAGAATTAAGCACACCTCGTCCTGGTTCAGAGGATCTTTATTTCCACACTCAATATTCACAACCTTTCTTCATCCAATGTATGGCTTGCCTGTGGAAACAACATTGGTCATACTGGCGCAACCCACCATATACTGCAGTGAGATTGCTCTTCACAACCGGCATTGCATTGATGTTTGGGACCATTTTCTGGGACCTTGGATCCAAAAAGTGAGCCAAAAATAGAAAATCGAAACTAAGTTTTACAACTTCGAACTCCTCTTATCTCCATTTCAATTTAAATTTAATGTTGTACATTTCAGGTCAAGGACTCAAGATCTGAGTAATGCTATGGGCTCTATGTATGCTGCCGTTGTCTTCCTAGGGATCCAAAATGCCTCATCGGTGCAGCCAGTGGTGGCTGTTGAAAGAACAGTCTTTTACAGAGAGAGAGCTGCTGGAATGTACTCAGCATTACCATATGCCTTTGCTCAGGTGACAATAATTCTCTTGCCATAAACTCATGTATTATTAAATTATATGCTCATGTTTCTTAATGAAGTTTCTTCTTCCATTGCAGGTTCTTATTGAGCTTCCTTATATATTTGTACAAGCTATGGTATATGGTGTTATAGTTTATGCAATGATTGGATTTGAATGGACAGTTGCCAAATTCTTTTGGTACTTATTCTTCATGTACTTCACACTATTGTACTTCACCTTCTATGGCATGATGACTGTGGCTGTGACTCCAAACCAACATGTCGCTTCCATCATTGCTGCTGCATTTTATGGACTGTGGAACCTCTTTTCAGGATTTATAATCCCACGACCTGTAAGTTCTGCCAATCTCATTATTCTTTGTGATACATAAATATACAAGTAGTGAGAACAAGACACTAACTAGTCTCATTTCCCTTGCCAATTACAGAGGATTCCTGTATGGTGGAGATGGTACTATTGGGCATGTCCCGTTGCTTGGACCTTGTATGGATTGGTTACGTCGCAGTTTGGAGATATGAAGGATGTGATTGACACAACCACTGGTGAAACAGTGAAACAGTACTTGGATAGATACTACGGATTCGAACATGACTTCTTAGGTGCAGTAGCAGGCGTGGTCGTTGGTCTTGCAGTTCTTTTTGCTTTCATCTTTGCTTTAGCCATTAAGGCGTTCAATTTCCAACGACGATAGAGAATTACTCCAAATCACCCACTTCGTGTCAGCCATTTGAGTACAGAATGCATCAGACATGATCATCTTGAGGAAGTGGTTCCAAGTTTTGTGTATTGGAGGATGTTTGAGAATATTTTAATCACTTTAAATTTTTAATCATTATATTCATGTTGTCAGTTTCGTTGAATTCTTTATAATTTCTGTTGTTTGATTGTCAAATTCATTTTCGTGTCGATGACACTTTTTTTTCTCCCGAGAAACGTGAAGAAAAATATGCTTTAATTTTCTCCAAAGAAAATTCCACAAAACATGTGAACATGGCACATGTGCCAAATAATCATTAGACAGTTGGTAGTTGCCGACCGTTGAAACCGACCATTAACTTGGCACATTTGCCGACTAGGGCCACAGCTCTCTCTCTCTCTTACAAGCTCTCTCTCACACTGGTCGTTTGTCGCTTGTTGGCAACTTTAAAACTTTTCTTCCATTAACCATTAAAGCGGCATTTGGATGACACACTCTATATGTTCTTAACTGTACTCTCAACCCTATCTTAACTTATCTTATTAGAGAAAATAATAATTGAACTCAAATTGAAAATATCTAATTGAAAAATAATAATAATAGAGAATTAGCTTTGAAAAAAAAATCTTAAAGTGGTAATCTCTTTCTCCCCTCTCATTAGGATTTAAGTGTCAGCCATCCAATAATTGACCCGTGTGCTTGACTTATCTACCGAAAAAGAAAAAGGATTTTTATATTCAAAATATAAGGCTAAATTCAGATTTAGAGTTCAGCATGAGATTTCTATTTCTCCTAACTAATTTGGTAAAATTCAGTCGAATTAATTTTAAAAAGATTGGTCAAATAAGGCCAAAAGATTAAAATCCTTAAGAAATCTTTCTCATCACGCCACAATGGTGGAAGATTTGAAAAATTAGGATGTAAGATGAATTTTTATAAATTATACGAAAACTAGTCCATTCATGAAATATTGCATGACTTTGACAACAAACCTGTACTGCATACTTGACACAATGAATGTGGGGGCACACTGAGGCTTAAAGCAAAATTACTATTCCTTCCTTTCGAAAGGGATAGGTGAGACATGCATTGTTTGTTTAAAAAATATTAGCTTGTTCTTTTAAATTTTGAATATTCAAGTTTAAAATTTTAAACTCAAATGACATATATGGAACGATGTGAAATATATTGTTAAGTTTTGAATTTTCAAGTTAATTTTAAACTCAAATGATATATATCGAAAGATGTGAAGTATATTGTTTGAAAAACTATTATTTTGGTACAGACAAAAAATAAATATATTATTAGGTTTTGAATATTCAAGTTTGAAATTTTAAACTCAAATGACATATATGGAAAGATATGAAATATATTGTTTGAAAAAAGAAAGTAAGCTATTATTTTGGGACAGACATAAAAGAAAAACATAACATGGGGACAGAGGGAGTAAATTAAATCTTCTTACAATAATTATATTAATATCATACTAATAATGTTTGTTTAGAAATTACTCTTTCTATTTATTTTATTTTTCCTAATTGGTACTTACACACACTTGTCTCTTATGAGATTTGAACCCTACTGTCCCAATTTATTTAATTTTTTCTAGTTGGTACTTACACACACTTGTCTCTTATGAGATTTGAACCCCTACTCTCACAAAGAGGTTAATACCGCTAGATCACTGGTCCGTTAATTCTTTCTATTTAATTTGTAATAAGGAAAATGACATATAAAATAAAAACTATTCACTTTTTTAGCTTACTAGATATTGATTTAATTATACATGCAATTAACATGTAAGAGAGTGAATGAATTACAAATTACAAAGTATAAAAGAAATTGATTTAGGGCATTAATTATATATATATAACCCTATTATAAAAATAAAAAATAAAAAAAAAATCCTTATCTACTCAATTTGAAAAATATAGAAGACTTTGGACATGTGATTCTTTTTTTAGTGCACTTCACCCTTGTATAATATATGTGATAATTAAAGTGAGACATGTTGTGCCGACACTATAAATGTGTGTGAGAGAGAGAGAGAGAGAGAGAACAAAAAAAAAAAAAAAATTGTGTGTTTCGTGTGTGAGCGTGATACGCTGGTTGAGTTTTCAGAGTGTGAACAGTATGGTTTGGTGTTTGGTATGTGTCTGGATCTTAAATCGTACTATGTATTAATTCCATTCCAACATACCAGATACTATATTATTTGACTTTTTTTTTTTTTTCTTTCTTTTGCATGTTTCCAGAAATATTTATCAATGTTTACAAGTTGGTTTTGTACTCTGACTTTCGAATATGTGCTAGTTACGGTTCAAATTTGAGAGTTAACAGGTCTCAATTGACCCGATAAACATTTATTTTAAACTATTTGATTATTTTATTTACATTGAAAATATCAAAAAAGTATAGTATTTCAAAACAAAAGAAATTATATTTGTTGACTAAACATGATTTAAGATAATAAAAAATGCGTTGAATTGGAATAGATCAATTTAAGTACTCCATATTTCAAGGGAAAAAAAAAAATAAAGAAAACGATCCAGGTATGACAAATCTTTAAACAATAGGATATAGATATAACAAGAATACGTCGCAAAGTTATAATATAATATATTATTCTATTAATAATAATTTTCTCATTTAATCCTTACTATCATGTTTGAAATTACTAATTTGAAACTTAAAATTACATTTTCGTTAACTTAAATATTATATTATTTTTTTAATTAACACATAATATATTTTAAATTGTATTAAATTTCATTATTCTAAAAAGAATAAATACAAAATTACTCCCCCGTGTCTTGAAAGTATCCAAAATGTGTCATTATCATTTATAAGAAAAAGATAAATATTTAAATTTTAGATCAGTTCTAGGAGCGTCCACATGTAAGATGAAGTGCCTTATTTTCTAAACTTGGAACTCTCATCATACTAACATTAAATCTTTGGTGGTTGCTATTATTCAATAATAATATAGATATTGAGAATAAATGATATTCCATGTGTCTCAAAATAATTGTCATACTTCCTTTTTTTGTCCTCAAATAATAATTCATTTTTCTTTTTTCAAACAATATATTTCACATCTTTTCATATATGTCATTTGAGTTTAAAATTAATAACTTTTTAGGAAGACAATGCATATCCTTAAAAATTACTACTCCTCGTAAGCAACACTTAAATTGAGAAAAAAAGGAATGTATAAACTTTAATTTTTGGTATAATATAATGTAAAATAATTTGTCTAATTAATTTCCAGCCACCACCCAATTACCATATTGAAATGTTGACCTTCTAGTAACACCATATAAATGAGCTCGCTTGCGCACCATCGTCATTAATGACTGTTGGGATTGTATGTAAGACAGTTGGGAACGTGAACACTTTTGTCATTTCATACCATATTGTATAAAAAAAAAAAACATTCAATTCAATCCCATTGCCTTTGGTAAACAAGAATTTGGGGAGGCTGCTTAGAGAAATTTGAAGTGTCAAAAAAAGGTTGGCATCACGTTATACATATATTACTTTTCAATAATGAAACTTCCCCGCCAATTTCCACACAGATTCTAGACATCAAAAATCCAACCTTCTTTGTTGCATCTGTACCTCCTCTCTCTCTATATATATCTATGCCTTGACGTAGCCCAAATAATTGGAACTGTCTAACAAAAGGAAAAGACACAGCTTTTGTGCATGCAGAGGAGATATATATATATATATATATATATATAGCATTACAATTATTATTGTAGAAAGTTACATTTCTTGGCTTAAATCTTGAAGAAAAATTCTTGGTTTTGTTTTGTGAGTTGTATTTTGTATGTGTGACGATGGATGGTAGTGATCTTTATAAAGCAAGTAGTAGCTTGAGATCAAGCTTGAGAACAAACAGTATACTGAGGAACAGTACTGTGGAAGTTTTCTCGCGATCTTCGCGGGATGAAGATGACGAAGAAGCTCTGAAATGGGCTGCCATTGAGAAACTTCCCACTTACAATCGGTTGAGGAAAGGGCTTCTATTTGGTTCACAGGGTGCAACCAATGAAGTCGATATTAACAATCTCGGACTCAATGAAAGGCAGCACTTAATGGAGAGGTTGATCAAAATTGCAGATGAAGATAATGAGAAGTTCTTGTTGAAGCTCAAGAATCGAATTGATAGGTAACAAATCTCCCGATTTTTATTTTTTTTTTTCATTTTTGTTTCACATATATATATATATGTATGAATGTATGTATATATATAGCAGACTTTTTGCTTATGATCTTCTGTTGTGCACAAGGGATGTTTGAGTTCACTCTCACTTTATGTGGGGTCCGACGCTGTCTGTATACACCCCTTTACTTTCTTGTTTTTTTTGTATACACCCCTTTACTTGTTCACACCATATGCACGAGTTGTTGCCTCTACCTAAATTTTGTTTGACTTTACAAAATGCTCCTGTCTAAAAATTTCTCTAAAATCTTCATATCTTTTCCTATTTACTCTTCTTATTCTTCAAAAAAAAAAAAATACTTTCCCCCGTCATCAATCAAGCCCTAATTTTTTCCCTTTCAAGTTCTCTCTTTTTTATCTTTTCATTTTATTTTCTTCTTTTTGATTTTATTTTATTCTTTTTTTTTTTTCCTCTCTTCTAAAAATATCTTCTTGATGTATATGTGTTTTTTTTATTTATTATTATTCATATTCTTGTTCTTTAAATTTATTATTACTACAATTATATAAACTTAGACTTTGATGGCGGTTTGTTTTGTGTTTTTGCTGTCAAATTAGTGAAAAACATAACATTTATCATATAACTAAAGGTTTTGCAACGTAATGGTATCTCCTTTACTTTCCAAAGGGGATGGTGAGGATTCGATACCGTAGAGATAAATGATTATTTGAGTTTCTCGGTAATGAATACAATCTTTACGGAAATTTATTTTTAAAAAAATTAATATAATGTAACTAACATCTTTTTAAAAATCATCCCAACATGTTTTTTTTTTTTTCAAAATAAATCATAATTAAACAAAATAGTATTCCTTTCGCTTCATATGAAATTGAATATGCAAAATAGAAACGATTACCAAATAGATCCTTAATGTCTTTAATTTATGTTTATAAATTTTTCTTTATTGCAACCTTTTTCTAAATTGTGACATACTATTTGAATATGCAACATTATTGCGCTTGTAATTTTTGACTTGTTGTCTTGTTGCACTATTATTGTCATGCTAGTTTAAAAGCATATATATATATATATATATCCTAAATAAATTAAACTCTTGTCTCCTTCACTCCTTAAAAAAATGCAATATTTCTGGATTTTGAATAATGAGTTCAGTTACTTTTGCATGGCTTTCTCAGAGTTGGACTTGATATGCCCACAATTGAAGTCAGATTTGAGCATCTAAAAGTTGATGCAGAAGCTTATGCAGGAGGCAGAGCTTTGCCCACTTTCATTAACTTCGTTGCTAACATACTGGAGGTAATTACAATCAGCAACATAATCACTAGCTCATTTTATTGTTTTCATTGATTCTGTTTTTTGCCAAGTGCTTCTTCATTCTAATTTTGTTACATGTCCTAAAGGGGTTTGTGAATTATCTCCATATACTTCCAAGCAGAAAGAGGAAGCTATCAATCCTCCATGATGTTAGCGGAATCATCAAGCCATGCAGGTGAGAATCGGGCTCGGTCCTATTCAAGAAATGAATTCTGATTAGATATGGAGTATCATTTCTCATGTTGATGGTTAATGTGGTTTTTGCAGAATGACATTACTCTTAGGTCCTCCTAGTTCCGGTAAGACCACACTGTTGTTAGCTTTAGCCGGAAAACTTGATCCTGAACTAAAGGTAATTAAACAAATCTCACTGGATTAATTCTTTCATGGGTTCTCAATTCAAGGTTAAAAACATATTCATCTAATTACTAGTTTAAATTTCAATGTGAAAGTTGAACTAAAATTTGTCGTTTGGAACAACACTAGTTTTCTGGAAGGGTGACGTACAATGGTCATGGCATGCAAGAGTTTGTACCTCAGAGAACTGCAGCCTATATCAGTCAAAATGATGTCCATATAGGAGAAATGACTGTGAGAGAAACCTTGGCATTCTCTGCTAGATGCCAGGGGGTTGGAGACCGATATGGTTAGTTAACAAAATGTTCATTTCCTTTTTTTTCTTTTTGCATCTGAATGTATACTTAAAAAATTTAGCGAGATTAGGAATGTTGATTATTTTTTTCGAAAATAAATGCAGACATGCTAGCAGAGTTGTCAAGAAGAGAGAAAGCAGCAAATATCAAGCCTGATCCTGATATCGACATCTACATGAAGGTAAGAAAGGAGCTACTTTGAAATTTTTCTTAAGAAAGTAAGTAATGCTGGTACTAGCTTTTATACAATTAGACCCTCTGTGGATTTTACATTCCAATCCTTAATGGTAGTAGACTAGTTTATTTTATTTTTTCTTTTGTTTTGTTTCAGTAAGTTTCAAGCATGACTAGTTATTACTTTCAATTACATGTTCAGTTTAGTCTCAACCAGAATCAACCTTCAGTGCCAGAGTTTAGTTTATGAAACTTGTTTTTACTTATTGTGAAAAGAAAAAAAGAAAAAAGAAAATCATTCTTTTTTATGCTTATTCAGGCAGCAGCAACAGAAGGCCAGGAGGCAAGTGTGGTCACAGATTATAATCTAAAGGTAATATAACCACAATACACACACACAGAGACAGATATGTATATTCTAAAGGTAACATACCACGCAGGAAGTTAATTCAATTCATTTCCTCTTAAATTACAGATTTTGGGACTGGAAGTCTGTGCAGATACCCTAGTCGGAGATGAAATGTTAAGGGGTATCTCCGGAGGACAGAGGAAGCGTGTTACAACTGGTAAAGCAAACTCAAATTTCAAAAATTCCATTAAAAAAGAATTTTATTTTCTTAAATTTTTCTTTGATTTTAATGTCACAAAATTTCCTCCTAATCTATTATAGGTGAGATGCTGGTTGGACCAGCGAAGGCACTTTTCATGGATGAGATTTCTACGGGTTTGGACAGTTCGACAACTTTCCAAATTGTGAAGTCACTCAGGCAGTATGTTCACATTCTCAAAGGAACTGCTCTCATCTCTCTCCTGCAGCCAGCACCTGAGACTTATGATCTGTTTGATGACATTATTCTCCTATCTGCTGGCCACATTGTCTATCAAGGTCCCCGTGAGGAAGTGCTCGAGTTTTTTGAATCCATGGGTTTCAAATGCCCCGAGAGGAAAGGCGTGGCTGACTTCTTGCAAGAAGTAAGTTTCCATTCATCTTAATTCGTTTCTGTTTTGTTATGATTGTTTTGCTTCTTTAAAAAAAAAAAGCACAAATGAATCTTATATGTTTTTGTGTCTCGTTTCTAGTCTTACCAAATATAAATTTGTCACAGGTGACATCAAAGAAAGATCAGCAGCAGTATTGGGCACACAAAGATCAGCCATACAGTTTTGTAACAGAACGCGAATTTGCTGAGGCATTCCAGTCATTCCATGTTGGACGGAAAGTAGGAGATGAGCTTGCGACCCCATTTGACAAGACCAAAAGCCACCCAGCTTCTTTGACAACTAGTAAGTATGGTGTTAGCAAGAAAGAGCTCCTGAAAGCGTGCAGCTCAAGAGAATACCTGCTGATGAAGAGAAACTCATTTGTCTATATATTCAAGATCACACAAGTATGTATTTTGCTACACATAAATTTATGATTTTGGTCTCAATTTTGTAAATGTAGATTCTAATAAGAATTTTATCTCTCCCTCTAGCTTTCTATAATGGCATTTGTTGCAATGACAATCTTCTTCCGAACTGAGATGCACAAAGAAGATGAAACTGATGGAGCGATATACACTGGTGCTTTGTTTTTTACTCTGGTTATGGTCATGTTTAATGGGATGTCGGAGATTGCCATGACTATTGCGAAGCTTCCTGTCTTCTACAAGCAAAGGAGCCTTCTCTTTTATCCCCCGTGGGCATATGCTCTTCCCACATGGATACTCAAGATCCCCATTACATTCATAGAGGTTGCTGTTTGGGTGTTTATGACTTACTATGTCATCGGTTTTGATCCAAATGTCGGCAGGTAAGAATCTAAGAGAGAATGAATATCTCAAAAACTCGTTAGATTTGTTTTACATGTCTATTTTGCTCCGAATGATTACAATTTCTAATGTCATCTGTGCAGATTTTTCAAACAGTACCTGCTCCTCTTAGTTATCAGTCAGACTACTTCTGGATTGTTCCGATTTATTGCAGCAACGGGCAGGAACATGATTGTTGCAAATACATTTGGATCATTTGCATTGCTCTTACTTTTTACATTGGGTGGCTTTATGATATCAAGAGGTATAAATTGCGAAAATTATATTTTAGAACTATTTTTCTCATACTTGAAACATTGGATAATGCTTCTTTCTACTTTATTTGATGCCATAGATGATGTGAAGAGTTGGTGGATATGGGGTTATTGGATGTCACCATTGATGTATGGGCAGAATGCAATTTTAGTAAATGAGTTCACTGGCCATAGTTGGAAAAAGGTAAGTTTATGACTATTCTGTCCTTGCAAGCTCAATTCATGCTTGTGGCTCTATCAAAATCAGCTGATGCTTGAATTCACTTTCATGTCAAAGGTTCCCACGAATGCAACAGAGCCACTAGGAGTCACAGTTATGAAGTCTCGAGGGTTCTTTCCTGATGCATACTGGTACTGGCTGGGGGTCGGGGCATTGTTTGGATTTGTCTTGGTATTCAACTTCTGTTACAGTCTGGCTCTCACTTATCTAAACCGTGAGTAATTTCTACTTTTCCACTTCAAGACTTTTTAAAGCTGTGAATTCACTAACAGCATAGTTTAAAATTGTGCAGCTTTTGATAAGGCTAAAGCTGTTATACCTGAAGAAGAACCAAGCAATGCTGAAGGTGATCAAAGTAGAAGAGCCATTCAGTTATCATCCCAAGGAAACAGCTCTCTTGGACGAACTGCGCCTGAAGGTGATGAAGCTTTTATGTTAAGATATTGTGTTACACTATGCTATTCATACTCTGAAATCTATATATATTATTTATATTCTAATAAGATTTTAATTAATATGCAGAGAGAGATCAAATTAGGAGGAGAAGTATCTCATCTGGCTCCTCATCCCAGAGGACAGATGCCATTGTTGATGCCAATCAGAACAGAAAAAGAGGAATGATTCTTCCATTCGAACAACATTCCCTCACCTTTGATGACATTAAATACTCTGTTGACATGCCACAGGTAACTATAAGCTTAACTGATGTGTTGTATGTTATGAATTGAGAAAATTACTTTTCTTATAAAAACAGCCAAAAAAACATGACACTAATTGTTTAAATATGACTTGTAGGAAATGAAAAATGAGGGTGCTGAAGATAGATTGGTGCTTCTGAACAGTGTTAGTGGAGCTTTCAGGCCTGGGGTTCTCACAGCACTAATGGGTGTTAGTGGTGCCGGTAAAACAACTTTGATGGATGTGCTGGCTGGCAGGAAAACTGGTGGATACATTGAGGGTGACATTAAAATTTCTGGGTATCCAAAAAAACAGGACACATTCGCTCGGATTTCTGGATACTGCGAGCAAAACGATATCCACTCTCCTCATGTTACTGTCCACGAGTCATTGATTTACTCAGCTTGGCTGAGGTTATCTCCTGATGTCAATTCTGAAACAAGAAAGGTAGGCATATCTGAGGACTCTCCTAAATGAAGAAATAAAAATTCATTCTCACAGTTTCTCAAATATTTTAGGAGTTAAGTTGATGGAGAATGGATGAAGAAAAAATCTCTAATGTAAATCTAATCGTATATTATTGCAGATGTTCGTTGAGGAGGTCATGGAACTTGTGGAACTGGCCCCATTAAGGGGAGCACTAGTTGGTTTGCCAGGTGTGAGTGGTCTCTCAACCGAGCAACGCAAGAGACTAACCATTGCAGTTGAGCTAGTGGCAAACCCCTCCATAATATTTATGGATGAGCCAACTTCAGGGCTGGATGCAAGAGCTGCTGCTATTGTGATGAGAACAGTCAGGAACACCGTAGACACGGGAAGAACAGTTGTATGCACCATCCATCAGCCAAGCATTGACATATTTGAAGCCTTTGATGAGGTAAGAACTGTTACTCTACTATAACAGTTAGCATTCTCTGTGAATTGCCTTCTATTTACAAGCTATTGAAACACAAATCATTGGATTTCAGCTTTTCCTAATGAAGCGAGGAGGACAAGAGATATATGTGGGGCCATTGGGTCACCATTCTTGTCATCTAATCAAGTACTTCGAGGTTAGATGAAATGAAGAATCAATAACTACAAGGAGTAGTACATTATACCAATAGCCTTTAATTGGTTAAAAATAACTTGCTGACAAATGACATACTATTTTAACCAGGGAACTGAGGGAGTAAGTAAAATTAAAGATGGTTATAATCCAGCAACTTGGATGTTGGAAGTAACTGCTTCAGCACAGGAAACAGTTTTGGGGATCGATTTTACGGAAGTCTACAAAAATTCAGAATTGTTCAGGTTCAGCTAATATAAATATGCATGATGAGATTGAGATATTTATACATGCATGCTTAATTCTTTTTGAAGAATGTTTTGCACATCTCAAGTTTGTGGTTAGATCTTCTAATTTTGTATGAACTAAATTTCAGGAGGAACAAAGCCCTGATCAAAGAATTAAGCACACCTCCTCCTGGTTCAAAGGATCTTTATTTTCCCACTCAATATTCACAGCCTTTCTTCGAACAATGTATGGCTTGCCTGTGGAAACAACATTGGTCATACTGGCGCAACCCGCCATATACTGCAGTGAGATTTCTTTTCACAACCTTCATTGCATTGATGTTTGGGACGATTTTCTGGGACCTTGGATCCAAGAGGTGAGTCACAAATAGAGAATTGAAACTCAGTTGTACAACTTCGAACTCCTCTTATTTCCATTTCAATTTAATTTTAATATTGTACATTTCAGGTCAAGGACTCAAGATCTGATCAATTCTATGGGTTCTATGTATGCTGCCGTTCTCTTCCTTGGGATCCAAAATGCCTCATCGGTGCAGCCAGTGGTGGCTGTTGAACGAACAGTCTTTTACAGAGAAAGAGCTGCTGGAATGTACTCAGCATTACCATATGCCTTTGCTCAGGTGACAATTATTCTCTTGCCATAAACTTATGCATTATTAAATTATATGCGCATGTTTCTTAATGAAGTTTCTTCTTCCGTTGCAGGTTCTTATTGAGCTTCCTTATATATTTGCACAAGCTGCCGTATATGGTCTTATAGTTTATGCAATGATTGGGTTTGAATGGACAGTTGCCAAATTCTTTTGGTACTTATTCTTCATGTACTTCACACTATTGTACTTCACCTTCTACGGCATGATGACCGTGGCTGTGACTCCAAACCAACACGTCTCGGCCATCGTTGCTGCTGCATTTTATGGATTGTGGAACCTCTTTTCAGGATTTATAATCCCGCGACCTGTAAGTTCTGGCAATCTCATTATTCTTTGTGATACATAAACATACTAGTAGTGAGAACAAGACACTGACTAGTCTCATTTCCCTTGCCAATAACAGAAGATTCCTATATGGTGGAGATGGTACTATTGGGCATGTCCCGTTGCTTGGACCTTGTATGGATTGGTTGCGTCTCAGTTTGGAGATATAAAGGATCCAATCGATACAGGCACAGTTGAAATAGAAACAGTGAAACAATACTTGGATAGATACTACGGATTCAAAGAGGATTTTGTAGGTGTGGTAGCAGGCGTTCATGTTGGTCTTGCAGTTCTTTTTGCTTTCATCTTTGCTATATCCATAAAGGCGTTCAATTTCCAACGACGATAGGGAATTACTCCAAATCAGCCTCTTCCTCTCAGCATTTGAGTACAGAAAGCATCAGATATGATCATCTTGAGGAAGTGGTTCTAATTTTTATGGATAGGATGTTTAAGAATATTATAAGCACTTTAAATCGCAGTGCTTTTTTTTTAGTCATCTTATTAATTTGTAAGGTTCTTTCATTTCTTTTTACCTAAATTCCTATTATATGAAAACAGAAATAAAGTCAATGCTATAGTTTGTTAAAGCTTTAGATTTTCTACATTTGAATTTTGGAAGAACGGAGACATATGGTGGTGTAAATTCCTAGATTCCAACCAATAAATAGTTAGTAATGTAAACAATATTGCTAAATATGCCTTGGTTATCAGCATGATATGTCTACAGTTGTGCTAGACAAAGGTAAATTTGTCATAGTTTCTAATGGCACCACCAAATCGATCAACCCCATTATTTACCTAAACTATATTTAAAATTGTTGGCTTCTGAAGGCTTCCTTCACTCTAAATTGCAGGCGTGCCAGAGTTTACCGAAAACTCAATTAAATAAAAGTCGAACAATGTTTCAAAAAAATTCTTTAAACTTTTCGTGTGAAACTTGGACAACATGTTCCTATCGTATATATGTCCTTGTGTTACAATCTCGTTATCATCTACTAATGTTGCCCGATGCCATTCATATTCTATGCCTTTTTTTGGGTAGGAAGCATATCCCATTTTAATATGAACAAAATATGACAGAGCTAGTATCAGTTCATGTTACTGGCCTTTTTTTTTTTGGTATCATATTTTACTAACTATGCTTTATAAGCCCTCCAGCACATAAGTAAAGCCAAAGACAAACCATACAATAATTGCTTTGTTTTACCTTGCAAGTCACTTAGTCTTGGCCTGCCTGACTCATCCTTCTGGCAATGATCATCTGCCTCTAGAGCTTTATTGTTTCGCGCACTTCGATTCCTAAATTGAGAATGTTTATGAGATGTATGGTTTCCATCGCTTGGATTTTGACTTGGTCAATATGGTAATTAATTAATAGATATTATTTTAATTAGCGTATGTGTAATGTTTGTGTCTTATATATGTATGTGGTGCATTTTGTTTAAACTTGTTTTCATACTCTATAACTGTCATACTTCCTTACTTTAACCCATCAAACTCCTTCTTTAGTTCCCTCCGCTTTGGCGCTGGAAAGTACTTCTCATAATACAACTTCTTGAATGTAGCATATGTCATAGTATCCAGATTATGGGTGTGAGAAACGGTCTTCCACCAAATCTCAGCATCGCCCACAAAATTGTAAGTCGCCAATGTGATCTTCAACTTGTCCGTTGCCAAATTCATGGCATTAATATGCTTCTCCACCCTATCCAGGAAACTGTCCGCAACAAGCGGATCTGGACCACCCTCAAACAAGGTTGGCATCAACTTCACGAACCTGGCAATGTGAGAAAGAGTATCATCTAGCTCATTTGTCTTCGGAGGTGGTGGTGGAGCCGGTGGTGGCACAAACTGTGACGATGACGCGCCTGTCGGTCGATATGCATCAAAAATAGCCTCTTGAATGGCTAACCTAATTTGTTCCCTATTCATCTGAAAAGGTGGATCAACAGTCCCCCTCGCTTGTCCCCCTCTTGGTAGGACCAAATCACGCAACAAGATATCTTCCTCAACTTGCTTCTGATTCCTTTCCACGGGATTGGAGCTAGAACTTTCCCCGGGATCCCTTCGTGTTGCCATGACGCTATAAGAAAAAGGAAACAGATCAAAAATGATGACACTAAAATACGCACGAGAACGAAGTCCTCACACGAATGACTTGACAAGAATGGAAACACATAAGCACCTTTCATAGTCCCAGAATACCCAACTAATGATAAACATGATCATGCTAATCATATACAACAACATTAAGCACTTAGCACGTAGTCATATAAGCAGTTAAACAAATAAGCATGTAATTCAAATAATTAAGCACCTTAACACATAAGCATATAAGCATGCCATCACGTAAACAATTAAGCAAGTAAGCAAATAACTCAACTCCCCATGCAATCCTAGGTAGGCCTCTACCCGTCGTCCTAATGATATTCGAACCATTGCTCTGATACCAAATTTGTAACGACCCAAATGGGATACCAAAATAATAATAAAAATCTATAAAAAATTTCGGCATGACCTCCGCAGAAATTGTCTCTAAACAACTTGTTGAAATACAAAAAAAATAATTACAATGGCCTCACTGGGCCTTAAATCTAACATATCCTGTCCCAACGCAATATACATATATTATATCATATCTCCAAAGTGACTACATACATACAAAATCCCATTCCTCCATCTCATCCAACAAGGAACATACGTTGGTTACATCAAGTTACAGTCCAAAAAGCGTAGTTAGAATTTAAAAGTCCATGGCTTACAACATTATACTAATTAAACTAAAGTTTTACGAGTTAGTTAATATTACATTTACAAAATATTAAAGAGTTTTAATACAAAAGATAGCAAAATAAATAAATAAATAAAATAGGTCTCCGTGCTCGTCTAAAATCGTAGTGGATCGTCGTCCGCCACCTCTTTTCCATGTCCTGAAAAATGTTAGAAATAATGGGGTGAGCATAAGCTCAGTAGGAAGTGTCTAAGACACACTTCTTATATCCCCGTGAATCCATACAAGGAATAGATAAAAAGTGAAAGGGATCATAGTATAAGGAAACACACACTCTCAAATACAATAACAAGTATGTAACAAATACCACCCAATCACAAGCTTACCACAATGTCATAAAGTGCAATATGCAAACGTTACTCCCCATTTTCCGAAACATTTCCGTTTCAACTTCCAAAACCGTTAGTGTAATCCGACCCAAGGCACCTCCAAGGCGTCACGAATGGAGGGTTGACTAACTATCCACGACTACAAGGCACCTCCAAGGCATCGCATCCGGCCTAGTTAGCTCAACCATGATCCCTTCTAGACTACACTAACACCACGGACCACTAGGCGCCTCCTAGGCATCCGGTTTTCGCAAACTCCTTTAAAAAAATATTTTCCCCAAAATAATTTCATTTGTTCAAAAAATATATATATATATATTTTTCCTTTCTCTTTCCCAATGAATGCATGAATGTGCATGTTTCGATTTATCAATTCAACCATAGGCTCTCACACATTTCATTTACATCATTATCACAATTTAATAGAAATTTCTAAGCAATCATTTCTTTTATTTATTTATTGACCATAGCATCATTTTCTTTCAAAGCAATAAATAAATTAAAAAATACATAATCTTAGGACATACAATATGTCAACACCAAACATGCTCAATCACCGTAATAAATCTAGTCATATATATGAATTCAAATAACACATGGAACATATTTAGCATTTTAATTAAACATACTTCAACCACAAACTAGATAATCAAAATTAGCATGCATAGGATCAAATTTAAGGGGAAAAATTCACAAAAAAACTAAGAAATTGTAGATTAGAACACCCCTACCTCAATGGAAGTAAAAACTCCCAAAATCCCCAAATCCAAGCCCAAGAACCCTAGAATTTTGAACTCCCTAGAGTGCACCAAATGATGATTGGCTCCTATCAAATTGAAGGCCTTGACGAGCTTAACAACTTTGCTTCACAATGTTCTACCAAAATCCAAAAGTTTAAAGTTAGATCAAGCTTTGAGATTGCAAAAAGAAAAAGAAGCAGTGAGATGCCGAGAGGGGAAAGATGCAGCAGAGAAAGAGAGAGAAAACAGTTGGGTCGTGGGTCATTAATGCCTTATACACTTTTTGTGTGTTTTAAAACATGGGTGGGGCCCACTTGCTTTATTTCTTTTTCTTTTAGCATTATATATATATATATATATATATATATATATATATATATATATATATCTCACAACATTACATGCACTCCCGAGGGAGACTGTTTCTTTTTCGTGGGAGATCGGAGTGATTCCCACATTTCATCGTTTTATGGAGTTTGTGGACGAAGTCATTGTGATTATTTCTTAGCTAGTCTTCTAGCCGAAGAAGATGATGTCGTGGGAGAAGTTTATCTGGCGATTGTTTGTGACTTCTTGGATGTTTTTCCAGAAGATTTGACAGAGTTGCCTCCACACCGAGAAGTGGAGTTCACTATTGATTTGATGCATGGTACTGCGCCGATTTCTATGGCACCGTATCGTATGGCACCAGTTGAATTGGAAGAATTGAAGAGGCAGCTTGATGATTTGAGGATGAAAGGTTTCATCCGACCGAGTGTGTCACCGTGGGGCGCACCGGTCTTGTTTGCTAAGAAGAAAGATGGTTCGTTGAGGTTGTGCATTGATTATCGGAAGTTGAATCATGCCACCATCAAGAACAAGTATCCTTTGCCAAGGATAGATGATTTATTTAATCAGTTGAGGGGAGCCAGTTGTTTCTCGAATATTGACTTGAGGTCTGGCTATTATCAGTTGCGGGTTAGGGATGTGGATATCCCGAAGACAGCATTCCGTACACGGTATGGATACTATGAGTTCCTTATTATGCCTTTTGGCTTAACTAATGCGCCAGTGGCATTCATGGACTTGATGAACCGCGTCTTTCACGATTACTTGGACCAGTTTGTGGTAGTTTTCGTGGATGACAATCTTGTGTACTCACGGACTCGGGAAAATCACGAGGTCCATTTGAGTATTGTTTTACAGATTTTGCGGGAGCACCGATTGTATGCCAAATACGAGAAATGTGAGTTTTGGCTATAGGAGGTGAAGTTTTTGGGGCATGTTGTTTCAGAAGGTGGAGTATCAGTTGATCCATCAAAGGTTGAAGCAGTTTTGACTTGGGAGCGACCCAAAAATGTGTTTGAGATCCACAGTTCCCTTGGTTTAGCGGGTGACTATCGGAGATTTGTAAAGGATTTCTCCCGTTTGGCAGCTCCTATGACCCGTTTGACCTGGAAAGGGGTCAAGTTTGTCTGGAATGAGGCCTGTGATTCATCTTTTCAGGAGTTGAAGACGAGATTGACTACAACTCCAGTGTTGGTGATACCTGAGCGTGGCTTGGGTTATGTGATCTATTGTGATGTTTCACGTGACGGGTTGGGATGTGTGTTGATGCAGGATGGTAGAGTAGTGGCTTATGGGTCTCGACAGTTGAAGACTCACGAGCTTAACTACCCTACTCATGATCTAGAGTTAGTGGCAGTTGTGTTTGCCTTGAAGTGTTAGAGACACTATTTGTATGGTGAGAGATTCGAGGTA